AGTTTTTATGTCATGTAAGAGCATGAACGAGGAAAGAGTGACAAAGCAAATTTATTAGTATGTTGCAGAAGTGAACGGCAGAGTCGGGAACGGTCGCCCTGGACGAAAGTTTTTTGACCAAATTGGCGATATATTTACTGTAGATGGGCCAGATTAAGAGTACCCTTAACTGACAAGCATGAATGTGTAGGTGTATTATGGATGGAAAGGAGCTGAGACAGGTGTCAGGACCATCCTAAATGGAAGCCCATAGTCTCTGCCTACCCATATGAGTGACAGACCTAAGTGTTTATCATGATATTATGATAAATGTTATAGTTTTTTCAATATTCTATGTGCATGTGTATATATCTTCCATTCATTTTTCATTTAATTTTAATTTCAATAGAAAGTTATAAATAATATTCTGCCGGTATTAATAATGAAATTAACTATCGAATTTGGTTCGAAGTCGATATAATAATTTGTTCTCGTGGTATGAGATACCAAAAAGTGTTAAAAAATTCACTAACTTTCTGGGGATCTCGAAACATAGAGATACTAAGTTCATTATTAATTGAATATTAACTCTAAAAATCCGAGTCCATTCTTACAAATGAGACGTTAAAATGTGACCACGTAGTTGCCTGTAATAACATAATATTTAATGAGATAAAAATTTGTTAAATTATTACTTACGTAACTTGGTAATGGTAACGGCCCATAGAAATCTACATCTACCCTCGATTAAAAATCAAAATGCTGATGCATTGTCACCCGTGACGACTGATATGGAATGCCTCGTTTCCAGTAAAATGGGTCTCCAGTTTTCTACACTAACCAAACGAAACACAGCAGCGCTGAGCTGCTATTTTACGCTGGTATTTGAAGTAGTATATGTGTGCGGGTATTATGAATGTGTATGCTATTATTACTATTATTAGTGGTATGCTATTATTACTATTTTTTCACACACTTCCGGACGTCTGTATAATCTGAAATTTTGCATGATAATACAATAATTACAAAACCAAACTAGTATTATCACTAGGATAATCACAGCACATAAGAACAGCTATTTACTGGGTGGTAGAGTCGTTTCTGGATTACGGTCGGAAGGGTATAGAGAGCCGGTACACTAAGAAGCTGTGACGTGTGAGGCATTCCATCTTAGTCCTCAGAGGTGACCATCTGTAGCGTTATTTGTTTGAAATTAGCTTCAGGTTTTTTTATGGACTGCAGTAACCACTTACCTGCAGATAGACTGCAAGTTTGTTTGTCACCAATTTTTTTTATAGCAGAGAGGACAAACGAGCATGCGGCTCACCTGATGTTAAGTGACTACCGCCGCCCATGATCAACCGCAACACCAGGGGAATTGGAGGTGCGTTGCCGGCATTTTAGAAAGAAGTAAGCTCTTTTCTTGAAGATCCCTAAGTCGTGTCGTAAGGTCGCCGGTGGAAAACTATTCCACAGAGGTCGTATTTAGTTAAAAAAAATATCAAAACGTGTAATTGTTGAAGTACTTCAACAAGCAAAAATTTTATTTTTAAAGTCACTGCGTAAATTAAAACATTTTTGTAGAAACGACTCTAGAGCTCAGGACCCCTTTCTCTTTCATTGCATTTCCGTGGCCTTAATTGTCATAATTATATTTGCTCTACTCGACGACTACCAGTTTTGTTGCAATGTCATGAAATAGTATCTGAAATTATTTTGTATATTCATCATCATTATCAAAACCCTTCATAAGTCCACTACTTAACTGGTTGTGGCATTACTTTAGCGTCCCCCAAGTAATGCCACAACCAGTTCGTGTTGCCAGTGACATATGAGACGTGGTCCTTCACTGTTGGTCTTATGAGGAAGCTCGCTCACGAAGTCGCTCGGCGAGCTATGCAAAGCGCTAATTTCGGGTTTTCTCTACGTCATAGACTTAGAAAAGAAAATACCCGCAGTAGAACCAGAGTAACCGACGTAGCCCATCGGATTAGTAAGCTGAAGTGGCAATGGGCCGGCCATATAGCTCGAAGAACCGACAACCGAATGGAAGAATATATAATCACCTTCTTAATATTATATATATTCCTTCTTGATATTGGGTGGTGATGGGATAGAACTGATCATAACATGTCGTTGCGTGGGTGCTGTAAGTGGTGACTGGTAAAAGCCCAAATTGTGTAAGATAGTGGACGCACAACGTGGAGCATCAATGGACATTCAGTGGACTATAAAGAAGAGAAGAAACATAAAATGCTATGTACCTCGAATATATTAATAATAAATTTATCAGTAATCAATTTGAAAGTGGTCCCAGTCACGGAAAAGGTTAGAAAAGGTGGGCTAGCGTGGTATGGGTATTTTTATATAAAGAGGGGGTAAACAAGCATGCGGCTCACCTGATGGTAAGTGGAATTTCAAATGCGTTGCCGGCTATTAATGCGAAAATAATTAATTATGCGAATGGAAATAATTAAACTCTGTAATATGAAGAATGTTGGTTATGAAAGTGGATGGCTATAACTGTAGCGGGAGAAAGGAGTGAGGAGATGACGGTAATAAAGGAGTATAGAAGAGGAAGACATGGTATGCCGACCCCAAATAACTTAGGATACGGATAATAAAAAGAAAAAGACTCGTATAACATTTAAATCAGGTTGATTTTAAATATTGTTTAACTATGATGTCGAAATAAGAAAAGTGTGTTTGCCTAACCATTAAGGGAGTTTGTATTCTCTGAATCATTTATTCTTGTAATTACATAGTCATTAACATTAACATATTAAATCATATTCTAATTGATTAAAACTACTTTTACGGATTTTATCGCGTTTAATTTTACTTTTAATTATGTTTATTTTTATTTCCCGACGTTTCGGGTGCTTTCCAGCACTCATGGTCACGGGGGACTGAGGTCACTGACGTCCCGATGTCATTGTTAAACCTGGAGTACCTTCAGCTTTTTTAATTGTTTATGGTCCGATCTATGCAAAATGAACTGACTATGTACTGAGGTCTTGCAGTGGAATGCTTGGGTTTAGTTTTAATTTTATTAATTATAGGATCCCAAGCAGGTGGTAGTACCCAGCCTCCTTCTCTATTGAAATTAGGATGTTTTTTAATTTCAATAGCCTCACGTATCATCCTCAGTAGGAATCGGTGTTCTTTCGCGAGGATTTGTGGTCTATCAAATTTGATGTAATGGTTGGGACCGTCTAGTATGTGATCACAAACTGCAGACTTTCCGGAACGTTTATGCTTCACATCAGCTATATGTTATATATAAAAAATTAAACGCGATAAAATCCGTAAAAGTAGTTTTAATCAATGTGTGGTGTTCGCGTAAATATAAGAAATCATTATCATATTCTAATGTTTTGAAAGAAAAAGCGTATCACTGTTTTAGTTTGTTTTCTAGTAATTTTTTCTTCGTTATGTTATTTCCATGAGATCCAGAAATCAAAGTGCGCAGCCGGCTTGTTAAGATCTCGATAACAACGTCACCTATCGGTCCTAGCTGTAAATCTTGATGCACCCGTTTAGGAATTCAGTCACTTACAAAAGAAGAAATATGATTTACAGGGTTATTTTGCACTAAGCGGCCAAATTTGTAGAAATGGTGACATAAAATTAATAAAAAAAATCTCGTACATTTGTCCTTTTTATCTTTTAAATTCAAAATGCGTTGTAATGCATTATTTTAACTAATTTTCACATTCATAAGGGTCGATCGTTAGGCAAAAACTTTGTTGCAATTTGGGATTATTTTAAATAAAAGTAGAAGCCTACTCGTATTTTCAAAAACTGCAATAACGGTAAGTATATAGTTATTAGTTATTTATATATTTCAACTTAAGTCACAGAATATATTATAATAGCTTAAGTTTAAAATTTGATAGATACATAGTATAATATATAAATACATTTTAGATACTAAAACAATGAAGTCACGGACACGGTTAATTTTCAATCAATTTACCTCTCCCTTTTACTGCTCTCCTAAAATTAGCTCCGACCTCTCGAAACCAAAGAAGATATTGCATTCGATTAAGTAAATCAATCGATAGCCGTATAAATCGATTTAGCAAAAATAACAACTTCGATAGTAAACTTTTATACGGTAGAACGCATTGCGTAATGTTAAAAAAATAACGAGATATCGATTAAGAAATTTTTATCGCTCGATCCCTCTCTCGGCATCGATACTCGGCACGGCAGCAGTCTAGAGCGCGGCGCCCGACGTGCCGGGTGTGTCGTAGAGCGGTGTTAAATACAGCGTTAACGTGTTACACAAAACCAAATTTAACGTTTTAAAAAGCGTGCTATTTTTTACGAATAACTTGCAGTTTTAATCGGGTAATTGTTTTTTATTGTATTTATATTCGTTGAGATATTGTAACCGGCTTATTTAGTGCGTGTGTCTTTATTATAAAACTTGAATGTGAATGTGCGTGATATTAGATAGTTTGCCGTCTTATGGTTTTAATGATATAGATAGATAAAATAAATAAACTCCATACATAACCCTATTTGTTGAAGTTTTACAACATGCAGCTCTAGGTATTCGTTTAATCTCCGCGCAATCTCGTGTCAACAGTTTGTGTTGTCCTTTATCTTTGTAATAAGCGGACTTGTGACTTCATGGAAACTTGTGTAGTATGAATTGTATTATCGTATCTCTCTATCGAACTTCGTACATTATGAAATAGAAATTTAATTTCAGCTTGCATTTTTTTAAAATAATATAAAAAACTGCGGTCATGCTATGAAGCTATAGGGGAGATCTATGTTCAGCAATAGACTTTGGTGGTCGTAATGATGATGACGAGAAAAAAATACATGTGAATGATCTTTATAAAGGTTTTAGTTTTCAATATAATAATTCACTCTATTCTTTTCCAGGTACGCGTAAAATGGACCGTGAGGGAGGAGGTAATCAGTGAAGTGCTACAGTGTGTGTGCGATCGTAAATAATAACGTTGGATAACTAGTGGTGATGATGATGTGAGAGACTGGTGACAATGCCGTCGGATTGTGGTTCAGCGTGGTCGCCGCCCGCCTCCAACAGCGAGCGGCGGCTCAGCAACTCCTCAGATGGGAGCGCTTGCAGTGGTTATTCAAAAGCTGTAAGTACATTCTAGTTTTCTTTTTTTATCTATCACAAACTAGTGCTTGATTACTAATCCCGTAATCAAGCACTAGTTTGTGATAGTTAAACGTACTGGAATAATTTAACAAAAACTTATTCATTGTTGCCTTGAAGTCAGATTACAATCCTTTGCTATACCAATTACGAATCAAATTTGTTTAAAAAATTGGACCAGCAAATGTAAGAAGATAGTAAACTTTGTAAACTGTCATCATCCTCATTCATCACACGGCTCCAGTCCACTGCCGAACACACACATGCTACAAAGCACGGTTTTAAGTCACCTGCATTCATAGACTTCCTTCATTTCTTATCAGGTCGTCTCTCTATATACTGGGGCCCTACACTTCACTCACCGGTACAAGATTACCACTAGAGAACTGTTATTCTCCATTGGTTTTCGGTCCTATATGGATAGCTCATTGCCACTTCAGTTATTGATCCTTTGGGCTATGTCGATTACTTTGGTTCTACTGCGGATATCCTCATTTCGTTTAATATTGTATAACTTTGAAGTTATATAATTATTGTTTGTTTTTATTACGAGATTTTATTAAAGTTTCAATCGTTATGCTTTGAATAATGCGTTAAGCAATATTATCTGAGATTACGATTATTTACCGGCAAGCGAATAAATAAATACGGCTTTGTGACGTAGCTTGTAATTATTTGTCTTGCAATCGTCACAATAACACAAATTACTAGATTATGTACTTATGAATGTCGTTGTCGACTTAGGAAAATTCTTGAACAGATATGACGCGAGCTTGTAATGAATCAAATGTTTTACCTTTTGAGTCACATATTGCTTAATCTTATTCTTGTATGTTGAAAAAACTACGCTGTATTTCTTGTTGTACAAGTAGGTAATCTATAATTCACCTGCGCAAAGAATTTTTTTTAAAATAATTGTATACTAACAGTTCTATTGGTCATGTTATGTTTTGCGTTGTCATCTTCTGAATACTAAGCCCAATTGTCTGACTGTCTTTAACCATACTAGATTTATATATTTTTATCCATCAAGCCGAAACTCACTAAGTACATTGCTGCTTGGCAGCATACATATGAGGGTTGTATAAATTCAGACGAATTCTTAGAATGAAAAGGAACTACGTTACTACTTAGGAAACTTACCTTCACATTGGATTACTTATAAAACTCATGTTCTTTACTTCTATTTAAACAAATAATCAAAATCAGTTTGGCGTATTTTTTATTATTTGAGTTGTTATCAGGCATAAGTTGCAGTCCATCTACTATTTCGATTTCCCCACCCACGAGGCTAAATGGAGTAGGTAGTGGATATTCTTAGATCGCGACTACACTGTTAAAAATTTGCAACCGAATAATATTGTTTCTTTTTTACAAATGAAGTATACCTAAATAATAAGCATACATAAATAGTTAAGTTTCGCCGACTCTAGCATTCACTAGGTACATTCGTAATTAGTCTACATTAGTGACGGTCTACTTAAGTTCATATTCGGTTTTAACGTTTCTTTAAAAAAAAAAAACGACAATCTTTCGCTTCTGAAGAAAACAGCTTTTTTCACTTTTTTATTCTTCGTTGTATTTTGTTTTTGCTATTTTTGTAATCATATTAACTAGTGTTAGCCGTCACCTTTTAAGGTACGTAGGAGTACACTGTTTAAATCTATATTTATTTCTTTATATAAAAGTAAACGCCTCTATATAAGAACATTTATATGATTTCACCCATAAAACTATATATGCTTATACATAAAAAAAAAAAAACTCTTATTTGTTGTTAAATATTATCGTCTTTTAAAATTGCTACTTTTGCTAAGGCAAAATTAAAAAAATCTTAGCATTAATTGAGTCATTTTACTGTAGTTTTAACTAAGGAAAATACACTTAAAAACTCGTATTATTAGATTCAATAGTCTTTTTACCCTTGCAAACCTAACGTTTTAATATTTTATTTAAATTTGAGAATTAGTAGATGAGAGTGCAAACGAATGATCTAATTTACCGATCAGAATGAAATCTGAAAGTACTAGTTTTTAAATCAATTTTATATTTTGTATACACATTCTTTTTCTTTTAGTTGTATTTTCTATAATGGCCACATTTGGTAGGTGGATTCGCATTGTCGATCGGAGTTTCGGACGTAAGACATCTATATAATATTTTACTAAATGGTTTCAGCTATACCAGGCCACGTCATGAGGTCTTTGTCTTTTCATATTGCTCTCTATGATTCGTAAAAGAAGTAGTACATTATCTTACACTAAACTTTGATTTGCTATTGCTTAGGTTTTAAGCGTAGCGCAAAGGGTCGACTCGACCGGGGAATAGTAGGACCACGCTCTCACAGAACACCTATGTAAAATAGTAGCTTGACGCTGCGTTTCGTTTAGTGAGTGTGGATAACAGGAGAGCCTATTTATTGGAAACGAGGCATTACGTCTAAGTCCTAAGGGGTGACAAAGCATCTTCATTTTGATTCCTGATCGAGGATAGACAAAGATGTCCATGAGCCACAGCGCTCACTTACCATTGCGTGGACTGTGTGATTGCTCCTCACCCTTATCCTATAAAAAGTTTACTTCTAACAGTAATAATAATGAAGGGATCCAGACCGAACTTCCATTACGGTAGCTAGTATCAACGGAGACTAGCTAGCGCCAACACAAGTGCACTCTCTCTGAGGGAATCCCTCACTCTCATAGGCCGAAGGGACGGTTATCCGACACTAATCGAGAAGGAACAGGCACAGGACCTACGGCCTTTCGTGCTTTCCGAGACATTGGCGTAAAATCTTAACTCCACACTGCTACTGAGAATTTCTTTATAGTAAAACCCAATAACTGATTTTGACTCCACCCGAGAGTCGAACCTCATGATCAGCAACCAACGATGCGATCACCTACCACTACAAGTTAAGGGCCAAGAAAGATAATTATTGTTTAACTTACGTTAAATTAACGCTTGGACCCAACGAATACTTTCAAGAGCACAAACTTTACTACCGATACAGTTAATCACTGCTGTGTATTGTTGTGCCCTACATTTTTTATTTCTGGTCAGTCAGGTAACTGTTTTGTATTCCGTGAGAATTAACCCATTGTTGAAATGGCCTCTTTTGTAACTCAGCCTTGGGATTTATCGATTGTTTGAAAATAGTTGCAAATCCTTGACGTGTCTAGTGACAATTTATAACTGCTATAACACTTGTGATAGCTATTTTTTGCTAATTACGTTAATTTGTGTCACGTAATTGGAGTTATGCTATTTTATAATTTTTTGTATTATTTTTTACGTAGCCATAGCTATAGCTATATTATGGTTGTAGCACGAATAGGACGGCTCCAACGGGTGCACCATGCTCTCACAGAATATCAGCGTAAAATAGCACCATAATGCTACTGTGTTCCGTATGGTGAGTGTAGACCACCAGAGACCCTTTGTACTGGACAAGAAACATTCCATATTTGTCCTCAGGGGTGACAACGCATCTACATTTTGATCCATAATACGTATTAAGTAAACTGTGTGTACGTAAGGGTGGCCCCTTATTCTAAAACAAGTTGCCGTAATTAATCAAAACTAATTGCTACCCAACCGTCGCATACAGCTTAAAGTAGCATAGTAAATTATATAGTAAGGTTGGCAACACTATGCCTGGCAGAGTTTTCATCAATGAATTGCTTCTTCTTTCAGTCTTTCAAAACAAAAAAGTCAATCAATCCACCTCTCGATACAAGTTTTTCTAAGAAAGCGTTAAATAATTCATTCCTTAAAGCTACTATGATTCTCCCATCATGAGCAGAGACGGGTCAGTGTAGTATAGAGTCGATACCACAACGGTAATACTGTTACCCATCAACACGTACTGAAACTTTAATTTTCTCCCTTACACCAGGGTTACAGGGGCATATACATATGCCAGAAGATTTTTTTTAATGTAACAAAGTATATTAAGTGACGCATGATTTAGTGGATATTTAATATTAATGAATCAAATTTCTCATTAGCAAATTAAAGTTAGTTTATCAATAATCGCATCAAAAATATCACCAAACTATCCTGACAGGGTATCAGGTAATGTAAGTCAATAAAGAGACGCTCGCTCTTTAGATGCCTTTAATTAATCATTCCCATGACTAATTAGCTAATTACAGACGTCACCCTACACGGTACGTATTTGTGCATACCAGCAATTGTCTTTGGCACCCAGGGTTGATGGCAGAGAATGCCACATGGCATTAAGTCCGCCATATGTACCCTTAGCTTTATAGTGTAACATTAAAGCTTTAAATAAATAAAATACCGCTGCAATATTCCAAACGAGCTTAATTTTTAAACTAGTGTTATTATTTCCTTAGATTTTTAATACCGAGCAGTCAAAATCTGATTTCCTACCTTTTGCAATGCATTTATACACAAAAAACCAACATCACTGAACTCTCTATAACTTTATCTTATAACGCGTTCACTTTGCAAGGATGTTACCTATCAATCACAATTTGTATATCCTTTAACGTTTCTCACGATGTCTTACGACGACTTACGGACGCAAAAGAGAATAAACTTTTTTCAAAGTACTTCTTCTGTGATGATATTATGCGTGGTAAAGCCAGGTTACGCGAAAAAACTACGCTCGGACGAAATATCAGCGTGAAATAGTAACATTATGCTCCTATGTTATTTTTTTTCCTTATTTAGGCATGTTTTTGTGAACATGTTAATCCCATTATAACCATCAAAAAACTATACATTTATCTATACAATATAGCTCTCCTGTGTTTAGTATGGCGGGAAAAAAAATATATATATATTAGTAGTATAGTTGTAGCACGAATGGGTTAGCTCGACCGGATAGGGACCATGCTCTCACAGAATACCAGCGTAAAATAGCAGCTTAACGCTGCTGTGTTTCGTATGGTGAGCGTAGACCCTTTTTACTGGAAACGAGGCATTCGTCTTCACGGGTGACAACGCTTTGGGATT